CAATCCACCTCATAGAGGGTCTTCCCTCCTGTGCTGTCCCTCTACTCTACCCAGCATGATGTCCCTCTCTGGAGACCTGTCTCTCTTTGCAACATGTCCAAAGTATGTCAGACAAAGCCCCAGAATCTTTGCCTCCAAGGAGTAGCCTGGTTTAACCCTCTCTAGGCTGAATCTGTTTGTTTTTTTGGCAGTCCATGGTACATTCAATACTCTTCTTTAGCACCACAGGTCAAAGGCATCAATTCTCCTTCTGTCTTCCCTAGTCATTGTCCAGCTCTCTGATGGAGGCTCTAAATTCCAGGAAGGAGATTGCCCATTGTTCTCTCTGAGAGCTGTTGATGTATTCAAACTGCCTACCCTTGTGTTAGCAGTCCAACTCTTTACTTACTAAAGCACTAGATCTCACTAGAGTTTTTAACTGTTTCTGGTTATTGTTTAAAGATTATTTTGTATGAAGATGCATGATCATTCCTACTTAGCACAGGGGTATATATCTTTCTCAAATGCCATTCCATTTTGTTGTTATAGATTTTTCTTTTTGTTGTTACATATTGTCAAAAGGATGAATGTAGACTAGTAGTGTGTTTAACAATGTTACCAGAAATTTTCATTTCTAACTTGGACCAAGAGGCAGTTGTCAGAACAGAGCAAGGAAACACTGCATGGTTCAAAATTGGGAGGGGCATACACCAGGGGTATGTCCTGTCTCCATACCTTTTCAACCTGCATGCAGAACAGATTATCCAGGAGGCTGGGCTCTATGAGGAGAAATGTGGGGTCAAGATTGGCGGAAGATCTATCAACAATCTGCGATATGCAGATGATACAACCCTGCTTGCTGAAACTTAGGAGGAACTGAAGCGCTTGCTGCAGAGGGTCAAGGACTGCAGCCTCCAATATGGATTGAGGTTCGATGTCAAGAAGACAAAGATTCTCATTACTGGGCCAACTGGTAGCATCAGGATGAATGGTGAAGAGATTGAAATTGTACACAGCTTGAGTTTGCTTGGCTCCACAGTCAACACTCTTGATACCAGCAGGCAGGAAATTAGAAGACTTATTGCCATGGGAATGTCTGCTGTTAGGGACCTCTCCAAAGTACTGAAGAGCAATAGTGTCTCTTTGGAGACTAAGGCGCATCTGATACAGGCCATGGTCTTTGCTTTCACTTGTTATGCATCAGAGATCTGGACAATGACTAAGGAGGGTAGAAGGAGAATTGATACCTTTGAGTTGTAGTGCTGGAGAAGAGTATTGAGGGTACCATGGACTGCTAGGAAAACAAATAGATTGATCCTGGAAAGAGTCAAACCGGGCTGCTCCTTGGAGGCAAGGATTCTAAGGCTTCGTTTAACATATTTTGGACATGTTGCAAGGAGCGACAGGTCCTTGGAGGGGGACATCATGCTTGGTAGGGTTGAGGGACAGCGCAGCAGAGGAAGCCCCCTTATGAGGAAGATTGATTCAGTGACTGGGGTGATCGGGATGGGTGTTTGGAAATGGTGCAATTGGCACTGGACAGAGCAGAGTTTAGGGAAGTTGTACATAGGGTCACTATGAGTTGCAAGCACTCGACGGCACATAACAACAACAATATTAAAATTGTAATTCATGTTTACCTCTTTTTTGAGATAAATATATCCCCATATATTCTCTCTTTGTATCTCTTTCTCTCATGCACATACCTCATATAATATTTTTAAGTTAAATGTAGATGTGATGTGATTTTAAGTTTAACACTCGATACGTGTTTGTTGATTTCTGAATACATGTAAAATATGGATGAGGTTGGTATACACTTGGAAACAGTGCTATTCTTACCATATGAAATAATCCAAGGCAGCCTTTTAGTGCAAAATATTCAATTATACTGTGCCTTTTCAGGTGAATATAATTTTGTGAGTGGAATTAGGGATAAATTCCCATGTGGAGAATATATAGAACTTTTACTAAACTTACATTTTGCTTTTGAAGGAGTTTGGCCTTAATTTTTTGAAAGCTCATAGCTAACAGAGAAGATGAATTTGTTTCTACTGAGGTATTACCAATCATCTTTAAATATTTAATTTACCTGATTACTACCATGCCTTACTATGTATTTTCTTTCCTAGCACCATGTGGTGGACACTTGACAGCTTCCAGTGGAGTTATTTTGCCTCCAGGATGGCCAGGATATTACAAAGATTCTTTAAATTGTGAATGGATAATTGAAGCGAAACCAGGACACTCTATTAAAATAACTTTTGATAGGTAAGAATATTTTCCTTCTTAGTTAAGAACCCAGGGATTCACATATACTCAGTGTTTTTATTAAATGAAATGTGACACTTCCATGTTTATTTACTTCTATGTACCTTTATGAAGGTGACATTTCCTTGATAAATTTTGTTCCTTTAGAATTTTCTTTGCCTCCGTTAAAAAAATAAAAAAACAAAAAAATTAAAGATAATATTTATCTCTAGTAAAAGCTTATACTAATGAAAATAAAATTGTGAGATTTCTATAGAAAAAAAAAAGCATCATCCTGAGAACTACGGTCAGCACAATTCTGCAGTAAATGTGGGGAAGTAGTAGTCCCTGAGCAACACTTGACTAGTATTATGTATCTGGCACTTAAATTGAACCCTGGATCCAGAATCTACAAGTGGAATGAATTCTGCTCTAGTATTGCTTGCACACAAAAACAGATCAGTCCCTTTGATGCTTTAGGTACCTTCTGCGGCAGGATAGAAAAAAGTCCTTTTCTTGCTGTAGGCATAAACCTTCTATAGCAGCACAGAAGCAGCCCCTTTTTTGTTCTAATCATGATTATTGGTAACTAGGGGGAAAATGAACAGGCACTTCTGGTGGCCTAGTAATAAGAAGCTAGGCTGCAATTCTAAAATCATGCAGCTCAAATCCACCAGCAGTTCTGTGGGAGAAGGACTGGAAACCTCTGTGTGATTTATTGTCTCTGAAAACCTGATTGAATGGTCAGCTGTGGGTCAGTTCTGACTCTATGGCACAAAATCACCAGCTATGTAATTCAAAGGTCATGTGGTCACATAAAAAATGAGTATTATATAAAAAAGGAGGATGACCACATCACTGCATCATTATGAACAAACAAACAACAAAAACAACCCTCTGCTTGTGACTATTCCAACTCATGATGACTCTCCATTGCATTTCTTAGGTTATAAATCTTAATGAGAGCAGACTGCTACTTTTCTTTCTGTTAGCAACCAAATATGCAAGCCATTGCACCATTAAGGATCTTTTCTGTCAAGATTCCCTTCTGCAAAATTGTGTCATTACCTAACTTCCAATCCATTGATAAATAATGTCCTACTCAAATTGGCAATACAAACTTAATCTTTACAGCTGGTGTTACTCTTTGTCTCACACTTTGACAATTATATGGTTTTAGTGCTAAACATAGGATTTTGCTAAATAGTTGGACAGACTTTTTACTATGTAAATAAATGTGGAACATCTGGCAGGAAAAAATTTACAAATTAGGTTTGGTTGTATCAGTTTTTTAAAAGACTTCCCATAATATGGAAAAAAAAATCTTTGAATCCTCTATGATAAAATGTTTTCACACTTTTCTCAATATTGAAATCAAACTGATGATTAAAAACTAAGTATTTAAGTCATCAACAACCTACATTATGTAGATGATGCAATGTGCTTGCTTAAACTGAATACCTGAAACACTTGCTGCAGAAGGTCAATGACTGTAGTCTTCTATATGGATTTAAGCTCAGCATCAAGAAGATGAAGATTTTCACCACTAGGCCAATTAATTGGCAGCACCATGATGGATGGAGAAGAGATTGAGATTGTTAACAGGGCAGGGTTCAGAGCTACTCTACATAGGGTCACTGTGGGTTGCAGGCAACTCGATGGCACGTAAGAACACAACAACATATTCTTTAATGATTCATCTTAATTTGGTATTTAAAATTAAATCTATGACTATATAGAATTTTCTCTAATACTAACCTTCTTTAACTGAAACAATATTTCAATATTAAAAATATAATGTTTAAAAATACTCATAGTTGTATCACTTTACCACTAATTTTCTAGTAAGTACCAATGACAAATTCATAAAAGGATTTAGCTAAAACAAAATTATCTTTTGAATTTATTATACTTTACTCTTTTTAATTTTTATACATTTTATTTTATACTGATTTATTTAAAAAGTTCAAGTATATTATTTTTCATACTGAAACTTTCCCATTTCTTTTACTCCTTCCCCCCATCAAATTGTGCAACCCTATGATTAACATACCACCCACTGCCCATCCTCACCCCTCTGCTTCCAGCATCCTCTGCCTTGTAGAATAATGGTTTTATACAGTATTTTTCCTTATGGGATTGAGGTAGTTGACTCAGCCTTTTGAAATTACTACTTATGCTGTTTTATTTTTATTTCTGGTAGTCTAATAATGATCTTTGAAAAACATTTGTTCATAAAACTGGTAGAGATTAAATATTGCACATAGTTATAGTCTTTAAACTTTTGGATCTGTAATTATTAAATAAGTGTAATTTAACATATTTTTATGCTTTACACTTCATGGACTTGGGAGGGTGGTAATGTGGAAAGAATATGTTGACTCCAAGTAGGGGAAAATCCACCAAAAATCAAGCCATTTTGAGTAAAAATTATATCTTAGAAGCACTATCAGAAGGCTCCTAAGAAGCAAGAATGGAGATACTTTGTCTCATGTAACATTGTCTCACGTCCTTTGGGCGTGTCATGAAAAGGGAGCAGTACCTGGAGGTGATAAGGAAGAGGGTTAGAAAAAATAGAAAGACCTTCAATGAAATGTATGTCATAGTGACTTATTAGTGGCCTCAAACATAGTAATGATTGCAATATTAGCTAAGGCCCAGTGTATCTTTTTATTGTATTTTATCTTGTTATACTTGAGAACTTACATTGCTAATTTGACAACATACTAACAACAGTAACAACAATGTTCTTACATTAAATTTACATTTTATGAATACTGATTTTTTCAGTTGCTTAGAAAAACACTTCTTTTAATTTCATCTAAACTTTTTACTTTTGAATATCAATAATATATTTTGATCTTTTAATACATTTCATTATTAAGTACTTAATTTTTTTACATTTTCAAACATTTCCTAACTTTATCTAAAGTTATAAAATATTAGTTTATACATTGAACCATGTACTGACATTCTATTGAAAATGTGATTGCACATAAAAATTTTAAATTCTTTGTTTACTACATTATTAGATAATATGTCTTTGGTGGCAAGATAATTAAAAGCACCGAGATATTTGGTTTTGAGTTTATTCTGCAAATCTTCATTTTGTGGAATTGTACATACACAAGTGCTAGCTTTTACTAAAAAAAAAAAAAAAGGATGCAAAAACTTAATTGCAACTATATCAAATTAGATCGCTTCCATGTCTATCCAATCTTTATGAGTTTAAACTCAGAAAACAGGAATATTAATGTTATAATACATATATTAAAATAGTTAAAGTCAAAGGTACTTCTATCATGATCTAGTACACTATTTCTGTGATATATAATTTGTTTGAATTCTCCTGTGAAACAGTGAAAGTCAAACTACCCACCTACTTGGATGTCAGAGTACATAATTACTGTGTTTTGTGCTAATGAGAGAGAGTTTATAATAAAAATTAAGGCAAAGCCCTTTAGTTTGAACATTCTTTTTCTTGTTATGAGCTATGGAACTAAATAAGGGAGCTGCTTCTCTCTCAAATTATCTTTCTCTAATCCGTGATATTAGATGAAAAGCATGGGGAATAGTGACACAGGCATCAATGGAATTCTTTGGCTCAAGTGACTGAGTGAGTCACAGTCTTACAATAGATAAGCTGTTCCCTGAGACTAGAGTCAGGCACTTGGAAACCGGGTTAGCTCTTTGAGGACAAGATAGGCCCATTTAGAAAATTATCTCAGAGCCTCAAATGGTACCTTCCTGGCATAAAGGGGTACTCAAGTGGCTGCAACTTTATATAAAAATAATTTTGAGCTAGATTCTCAAGAAGCCTATCCTCCTTCTTGAGAGTGAAGCTTAGCACAGTTTGGAAGCTCTCCTAAATTTTTAAAATCACTAAAGCATCATTTGATTTCCAAAGTATCTTAAATGTTAATTTTCTGTAAAAGTTAAAGACAATTTAAAGATTCCATCCCATTTAAAGATCTTTTTCATGTCGTTGCAATCAAGTGCCATCAAGTTGAATACAACTTAACAGAGATCCTATGAACAACAGACATTAACCCTGTCCTATCCTGTGCCATCCTCATCACCTCTGACACACTTGAGCCCGTTGTTTCAGTCATTGTGTCAGTCCTTCTTGTTGGGGGTCTTCTCTCTTTCACTGACCCTCCACTTTTCCAAACATGGTGTGCCTCCAAGGAATATAGCCTTTCCTAGAAACATACCCAAAGTTTGAGAGGTGAAACTTTGCCTCATTGCCTTCAAGGAGTACTCTGGCTGCTTTTTTTTTTTTTCCTGAGACATTTCTACTTGTTCTTTTGGTAGTCTACAGAATATTCAGTACTCTTCTCTAATGCCACAATTCATTATAATGTAGTTTTAATTACTCTCTGCCTTGAAAAGAACATTTTAATGTAATATATGCCCATTTTAAGATACCGATCAGCATGTTCAACAAGCATACTGAAAAAGAATGTGAGAATGCAGTAAAATTGATCAATTTTAATGTGTGTGTTGGTTTATTTTCTTAGAGATTTTTTCCCAAGAATTATTATTTTAAAGCTGAATATCTGCCTCCTTTTTTCTCAGTGCTCTCTTAAAAAAGAGTATTTGGAGAAAGGAAAAGATCTGTAGTATACTTTGTTTCTGAAGTGTTGTTTTTTATATTAGATGTGGTTATACTGATGACAACTCTTAGTGACCTCATGTGAGACAGTAAACTCAGCCCACTCCTGCAACATCCTCACATTGTTATATTTAAGTCCATTGTTGTGCCACTCCATTTTGATGAAAGCCATCTTCTTTTTACTTATCCCTACTTTATCAAACATGGTGTCCTTCTCTATAAGAAGTGATTGAAAACATTCTGACTCTGTCAGACCCTCTTTAGTCCTCAAAGTGATGTCTTTGCTTTTCAGTATTCTAAAGAGATTTTCTACAACAAATTTGCCCTACTATTTGATTTTTTAACTGTTGTTTCCATTGTCAATGATTGTGGATTCATATAAAATTAAATCCTTGACAATGTCAATCTATTCTCTGGTTTTCATAGTATTGGTTATTGGTTCAGAAAAATAATACATTTAAGTAGTACAGATCTTCTTATTTTAAAATACTTATATTGTGGTGTAATGAATGAATGAATGAATGACTGTATACCAATATGATTTTAGATTTGTTGCTGACTTAACATATTTCTTTATAGATTTCAGACTGAAGTAAATTATGACACATTAGAAGTCAGAGATGGGCCAGCAAATTCATCTCCACTGATTGGAGAGTACCATGGTACACAAGCACCACAGTTCCTCATAAGTACAGGGAATTTCATGTACCTACTTTTCACCACAGACAATAGTCGCTCCAGTGTTGGCTTCCTCATTCATTATGAAAGTAAGTCAATATTCATGTTTGGCTTTAAGAAATAGGTTTTTAATTTTTATGTATG